AGAAGAGATCTGTCTAACCAGAGTATTTCTAAATTTATGAAATTGAAATGCATTCAGGTTACCGAGCAGTCTAAATTTGTCAAAGTCACAGGGCTTGAGGCAGGTTGTTGCCAGAGACAGAGGTGGCAGACATCTGAAGCCAGCTCCACCAAAATGAATTTGAGACCCTGCTCACTGATTCCCCAAGGGCCCCCTTGCACCCAGGGGCAGCCCTTTCCAGCATGGGGAACTCCGACTCCAGCTCTCCATCCCTCATGCTGTCCCCTTGAGAACAAAAATTGAAACCTCATTCCAATCTCTGCTAAAGTGTTAACTAAATTAAGGAGTTAGCTGATAACTAAGGTCTTTGGCATCCAAAATGGTTTTTCCTTCGGGGTATTGCGTTCTGATAGGAGGCTCTTGGAAGACCCCTAATGCTCCGATCTCAATGCTCCTATGGTGGAATGACCAAGGGCAGGGTTGTTGCTATTGAGCTGGGGCCTATAATGAGTAGTGCCCAAGGCCTGGCCTTGTCTCTTTTTCTCCTAAGTTGTCTGTTGTACCCACTTTCAAATTATCAGGCCAGTTCCTAGACCTGCGCTTCCCATCCCCTAACCTCTAAAATTGATTTCCTCCAGCAATTCCTCTTGAATTCACAGCTCTACAGAATGCCAGAGCTGCAGCTTTCGAGGTCCTTTCCCCCTCCAGTTGGGGAAACTGAGGGCCAGAGAGGGGCTCAAGGCCTCAGAGACAGCTGGCAGCAGAAGCAGATACTGGGTCTTCTGAGCCTCAATATTTCCTGAGCACCTACTGTGTGCACCCCTTTACTCCATTCTAACTGCACTTACCTAATGGGTGTGCCCACCATTAACTTGAATTCATTGGCACCGGCACACACTCATGCTATAGGAGTGGCCTTTGGTCTTTTCCTGTGTTGTTTGGTTTCTGAGCCTCAGTCTCCTTGCCTGAAAAATGGGGACAAAGAATATTGGCTTACAAGGCTGTTGTGAGGGTCAAATGATGTAGCACCAGAATGTGCTTAGCAGAGTGCTTGTCACATGGTGGGGCTCTGTAGGTCCCCATCCTTAGGAGGTACAGAGATTTAATCATCTTAGTGGCTCCAACATTCACTCCGGTGTGTGGCACAGAGCAGGTGTTCAGAGAATGTCTGCTGAATGAGTGAGTGAGTGAATGAACGTGATTTAGGGATCATGGCAGGTCCCTGGTCTTCCAGTTCTCTGATGTCCTTGCACTGTCTCTGTAGAATCTTTATTCAAGTAATACTTGTTCACTAATTCAATGAATCAGTTAACAAAGTCATTATGTGACTGTTATGTGCAAAACTACTTTCAGTAATGTTGATTACTAATAACACATAATATTTCTGAGCTCTTACTATGTCCCAAGAATTGTGCTTAGTATTTTTCAAACATTTTGTCATTAGTCTTCACACCAGCCCACTGAGGGAATGTATCAGTCAGTAACGCTGTGTGACAAAACTCCCACATTCAGTGGCTTACAACAAGCATTTTTCTCCCCTTGCTCAGGTGTCTGTAGTTCAGCTGAGGCAGCTCTGAGTTAGGCTGTAAGTGGGGTGACTTGGCTCCAGTCTGCAAGTCAAGCTCAGGTCTGCTCCATGTGTGTTCATTCTGGAGCCTCGCTGAAGGAGGCAGCAGCTGCTTGGGATGCGTTCTTCTCATGGTGGACCCCCAGGGCACAAGAGAGCAGACCTGGCCCTGTAATACATTTCAAATCTCTGTCACATTCCCTGAAATCTCATTGTCGAAAGCAAGTCATATGGCCAAGCTCAAAGTCAAGGAATGGGGAAGTATATTTCATGCACTATGAGGAGGTGACAAGAGTGTAGAAGTGTCATATACCCATGGGATCAATGATTCAATCTACCACAGTAGGTGCTATCATAAGCCCCAAACTGAGGCACAGACAGGAGAAGTGACTTGCCCAAGGTCACTCAGCTGGTAGGTGTCAGAAGTAGGATCTGAACCCAGGCAATTTAACTCCAGAATTATGGAGGCCTAAGAGTGCACACATGGGGAGCGGATATTTGTTTTCTTACATTATCTGCATTTTTTTCACCCATTAGTGGCCAATGTCATGTTGGCACCATGTCTCTCCCAGCTAACATCCATCTGTCCATCCCTCCGCTCTTGCACACACGTCTGCCTTGGGTGTTGTCTCCACTCTCCAGAATAACAGGCTGAAGCACAATTCTTGGGTAATTTTTTGAAATGAATGTTGAGAGGAAACATCGCCCTCCAGTTCATCTCAGGCACCTGTATAAATATCTTTGGAAAGTCCCTGGTGGAATTCTTATCAAAGCAGCACCATGATCTGACTTAAAAACAATTGCTCCACGTCAACCGTGATTTCTGACACCTGAATTTGAAAGTGATCTGGGTGGGCCCAGTGCCATCTCCATGGTGAGTCATGTGTTTACGTGGAGGGAGGAGAGGAGAGACCGAGGTATGTGTGGCCGTAGAATAATGTTCCGCACACCCTTACAGGAGGGGATTTCCTACTCTGTGTTTCCATAGAACCTTCCCTATGTTTGTTTAAACCCGCTGCACACACTGGTCTGACAGCTGCCTGGCCCAGGGCCTTCCTTGTGGCCGCATGTACAACGAACCCTCTTTAACAGCACCCTGCACTGTGTCCCCTGATGCAATTACTTGAATATATAAACCTCACTGAAAGGCAGGCTTTTCTTGGGAGCTAATAAATAAGCCCCAAAGCCACAGCATGTGTAAGACCTTGAAAAATGGCATCATCATCTATTGGGAATTGTGAACCCTGCAAAAAGCAGCTCATTGTATTTTCAGAAAAAGGTTTTTGTTTCAAAAAAAAAAAATAATGAACAAAAATCACCAAGTGGAGTTTACATGGAAAAAGCAATCTAGTCTGAGATTCTAAGGCTGGTCTCTTTGCTGCATTAATCTTTCTTCATAGATTTTATGTAAGAGGCATTATTTGCAGGAAAATAAGATACAGTTTTGAAGAATTCCCCTCTCATCCCAGCTTCGCATATGCAGTTATAATCCTCTGATTGTGACCTCTGCACTAGTTTCCATGGATGCTGAGCAGAAGTTGACCACCTCGCTGGTTGTAGTTTCTGGGGGGGTGAGATGAAACCTCAGGCCATAAAGATCAGGGTTTTCAGAAAAAGAGGAAAGGGGGAAAGGCACTGTCAGGAAGTGAGCATTGTCCTTTAGGAAGCACTTTCGGCTCCACGTCTGGTTGCTTTGAGGACGAGGATGCTGGACTGTGGCCACGGGGACATGGGCAGGCGAGAGGTTGTGTGACTGAAGACAAGGAATTTTATCTGTTCTTTGGACCTGTTACCTGAGAGGCTGGGCTTGGTGCTCCAAGCGCCCCTTGAGTCGAGCTTCCAGAATTCAGTGTCTTTTCTTTAACTGATGGCATCTTCAGTCCACAGTCGGGGGAGTCGACCCCTGGTGCCGCTTCCTTGACCTCTGGCAGCCTGGAGGTTTCCTGGAGCAGCCGCCTCCGGGCCACTGCGGCAGGGCTCCGGGTCCCGCGGAGCCTTCCCTCTCCATAGAAGCAAAAAGGCTGGCCCAAGAGCCCGGGAAGGCCTTCGCGGGATGCAAAAATACAACAGAGGGCGCAGAACGCACCAGCGCCGTGGCCTTGACTATCAATGTACAGGCTGGCTCCAGACCGCCGAGTTCCTTAAAAATGTCTCTGGCGGGGTGTCACTGGCAGACTTTGGGGTTTCGGTTTGTTTTCTATTTAGAATCACCGTATCACTCACACAAACCGTGTTTACTTGGAAGGGCAGGGGGCGGGGTCCAAACCCACCGCTCGGCGCACACGCCTTGATCTCACATTCCAGACTTGAACTGATGTGTGTCAGCGTGACATGGGGCGGGGGGAGGGTTCTCTTCGGATGTTTCATTCGCCATCTGCACGTCACTCCCAAACTTTTCCTCCCTGTGCTCGGGGAGTCAGGTTGACGCGCCCTGGATGCGGGGCCCGAGGCGCGGGGCTGGGCGCGCTCCCGCGGAGCCGGAGCCGCAGAGGCTCCCGGACTGGACTCCGGCTTCTCAGGTACAAGTTGGGTGCCAGGCGCGAGTGGGGGCGGCGAGGAGCGGCGGGTGGGGGTCTGGCTCCGGGCTCCGGCGTCGCTCCGCGTTCCGGCCGAGCAGCGCCGGCGGCGGTCGGGGCTGGGCGTAGGGAGTCCGTGCCGGCGGAGGCTGCGCGCAGCCTCACTCCCCGCGGCGCTCCCGGCGCGGCTGCGGCGGCCCACGCAGACAATGAACTTGCGAGCGCGCCGAGCCGAGGCAGGTTAGGGCCCTGAGCCCCTCGGCCCAGTCTCCCCAAGGCTACCGCGGCCCCCAGCGGGGAGGCCGTCTCCTCGCCGCCGGTCCTGGCCGCGCTCCGGGCTCCCCGCGCGCCGGGGACCCCGCGAGAAGGGCTGCCTGGCGGCGGCGCCCGGACTCACACGCCCCTTCCCTGCCTCGAGAGAATGCAGCCGGAGCTCGGGGACAGAGGACCGGGCGACGGAATGGTGGCGCTGCGGACAGCCGGAGGCCGGCGGGGGGCGCACGCCCCGGGGCACGCGCGGGCCGGCTGTCCAGAAGAACAGCCCCAGGGGTCTGAATCCGGGCGCCCCTGCGCCGCCCCGCTCTGGAAGCATCAGGCGGAGGACGGACGGACCGACAGACCAGTGCTTTCACCGTGTGAGCGCGCCTCGGGGGACGGGGGCGGGGGGAGAAAATCCCCCAGCTATGCGCTCTGCTCCCCCCGCACTTGGGGGAAGTTTTCAGGCGCGGCCCGGGGCAGGTAGGTGAGCACCCACTATTCTCGCCCTGACTCTGGCTCGGAGCTGCCTCCCGACCCCCGGCTCCAGTCCCGCGGCCGCTCTGGGCAGAGGAGGCGGGGTGGCAGGGGTTCCCAGGCGCCAACGCCTGTGGGACCGGGTTCCGGGATGGGGGACCGCGGGGGCGGGCCTGGGAGGAGACGGGGGCGCGGCCGGGCCGGAGCGGCCTGAACTTTTGCTCCCCGCCTCCTCCTCCATCCTCCCCGCCTTCCGCCCCCTGCCCCCTCCCAGCGCCCGGGCACGGCTCCGGAGGCGGCTTGACTCGAGAGCTGCCGGCGCGTCCCGGCGGCGGCATCCCTGGCCGGCCTGAGCGTGGCAGGTCTGAGCGGCGCGGGGGCGGGAAGCAGGGGCTGCGGGGCGGCGAAGCTGTGGGGAGCCGGGGAGGCAGCGTCCCCTGCGCGGGGGCGACGCTGGGGATCCCGATGGAGGGCGAGTCTGTTGGGGGTGTGCGTGCGGGTGGAGAGGATGCGGTGGCTGTGGGCGGATTGGAGGCGGGTCGTGGCGCAATTGGCCCCCTTGGAGCCCCCTGGGATCGCGGGATGGAGGCGCCCGTGCGAAAGGAACCTCGCCTTTGGAGGAATGAATGAAGAGCTGTGGAAGCGCCTTCCGACTCCTCCGGCGAAGAGATTGGCCGGCGTGCGCGCGTGTGTGTTTAGGATTCGGAGCCTCCTGGGTCCTGGGCGCGGCTGCTTGACCGCCCCGTCGCGGTCCTGGTGCCCACGTTGTCCACCCGCCCTGCGCCCCGGGTATGCCCGCGCGGCTGGAGCGGCCGGTGTAGACACTGAAGAGAGGGGCTCGGTTGCCGGCTGCTGGTGGCTGGACGTCCGCGCCTCGCGCGGTGAGTTTCGAGAAGGAGGCGGCAAGGCTGGGGCTGAGACCCGCTCCCCGGGCCTCCATTTTCCCCTCTCCTGGGGCCGGGCCCTTCGCCGTGTTCACTTGGGGTGAGTTACTGCACGGATTTTCAGGTTGAAGTTCTATCTCCAGAAAGCCGCGGGACGCCCAGCGAAGGGATGTGGCGCGCGGGTCAGTGAGGCTGAGCAGAGGGTTTCGCTCCGGTTCCGGGCTCCCTCGCAGTGCCGCCAGCCGCTCCTTGTCAGCTGCGGTTCCTGTGAGGGCAGCCAGCCGGCATTGGAGCGAAGACACAGCCTGAGGGCATCTGTACCCCCTGAGGGGCCCAGGGGGAAACTGAGGCCCGCAGATTTGCCCAGAGTTCCTCTAGGACCCTCTCACACCGTTCTCCATCCCCGGCTTTCCTACCTTCCCTTCCTCCTCCAGCCCCCAACGTTGCAAAATCAGGAACCCTCCCTTTGAGAACATGGCACTTATTAATTTTACAAACTGTATGTTGAATCAGGATGTCTTAATTGGTACATAAATCTTTACAGATCGCATAAGATTTGGTTTAAAATAGCATGGGTATAAAAATGCGTCTTAGGTAGTTTTTATCAAATAAGTTTGTCTCTCCAATACTCCTGAAAGGTTGGCAAGAAAAGGTTCTTCTTGCCTCCTCCTGGATGGGGAAACTGAGCCAGCAAGGTGAGGCGGCCTCCGTCGGCTCCCTCTCAGTGCATAGTTGAGCCTGAAGTGAAGCTGCAGGCCTGGCCTTCCCTCCAAGGTTTGGCTCCCCAGGAGAACCGTCTCCAGGGCCCTCAGAAGAAGAGTCAAGGATGTCCGTGTGTCTTTTCTCCCCTGGACATTGCATGACTGCAGTGAGCTGGCTGGCGGGTGAAGTGGGCAGGGTTAATTCATCCAGGATATTGTGTGGGGGCTGGGAGGCAGGTCTGCCCACAGTGGGTCCCCCCTGTGCTTTGTTTTTCTTTGATGGTTAGAGCCTGTGATGCCTGAACCACTGTCTGGCTGGGCATCCAGCATGGTCACTGGCTGCTGTGAGGGCTGATGTTTCCCCAACTTTCTCAGCCTCTGTTGCTGCTGTTCCTGGCCAGGAGAAGCAAGGCATTTGGTTTTCCACATGCCTGAAAGAGAGAAGATTAATCCCTACATCTGGAAGAGGTAGTGTTTGCGGGAAAGGTTGGAAGAGATTGGGAAGTGGACTCTGCTTATTTGGTGTCTGGAGAAGAGCAGAAAAGTAACTCCAAGTTAACCAGCTGGGCTGCAAGAGCCCCAGGGCCTTTGAACCTGCACTAGTGAAAGCTTTAGATTAGTGCTGGGTTGTGATTGGATTGTGGTTGTCCAAGGCCATCTAGTACAGGGGGATGGGAAGAGGAGAGAGACTCTGGGGCTGCCCTGAACAGGTGAGGGCGTGCCCTACCTATAGGGGGCAGCTTTGACTCAGCTGCAGCCAGTTGGGGGAAAAACAGACTTGACAGGTCTTGTTAATTTTTAAGAGAATTCTCAAGTCTGGATATTTAAGTGTGGACTCAAATTTTAGAAGGAGAGTAGAGGTTTAGAGTTGAGTGTGCTGCTAGGAGTTCTGAAGCTTGACATCTGGCCCTGTGTTTGTATACTGGGAAGGTTGTCTCACTACCAAAGATGTGACACATGACAGGACATGGGGATCACACCCCCGATGGCCAAGGGACGAGGAATTGACAGGTGCCCATAGTGCCTGCAGCCGTGTGCCAGTCTCCTTCAGATGCTTGTGTGTCATGCGTTCATTCAGTAGCGCTTTGATAAATTCCCATGACGTGGAAAGTGACGCTCTGTATGAAACTTTTCATATAATTTCATTTACCAAGTAGATTTCACAGTTGAGCATCTGAGGGTGTTGCAATGATAACACAGACATAGTCCCAGCCCTCCTGGGAGTGGACAGAGAAAAACGCCTGCCCCAGACGGACAAATGAAGGTAAGCTGCGTTAAGAGCTGGGAAGGACTAAGACAGGGACAAGAGCTGGAGGCGCGCGGTCGTGGGCAAGGAGTCTCCTTTTGCAGATATGGAAACTGACACTCGGGGCAGTGGGGTGACTTGCCCAAGGTCACACAGCCCGTAAGTGGAAAGTCAGCCCAGGTTTCTGATCGCCAGCTCCTGGGCCTGCTCTCTCATCCTGCCATGTTGGGCTGGAGCCTCTTGGAAACTGCCAGATGCATGGACACTCGCTGTGGTTGGCAGCTTTCGCTTTTGCATCCACGTGTCCAGACCCCGTCCCCTTCCCCATGCCTCGGCAGGCCCAGGATTGCAGAGATGCCATTTGGAACCCATTTATCTGAGAGAGGAGTTTCCTTCAATTCTAAAAGCAGGAACTATTTTTAAAAGTCGTAGCTGGCACGGGGGTGTCATTTATGGAGCAATCAGTCAGCATCTCCTCAGCCGCATGTGATTGAGAAGTGGCGCGCTCAGTGCCTGGTGAGAGCAGTGCAGCCTGCCTTCCCCTCTGGTCTGTACGTTGGGATGCTCAGGAGCGACGTTCACTGCCTTCTGCAGGGGACTTGGTTCTCTCCTGTGAATGAAGAGGTGTGTGCTCACTTAGCTGAGCAGGTGCTGGAGACAGGCTGCTTTGACTTGCACAATATATTTCTTCATTGTTCTCGAGTGCTGGGGTCTGCCTTCCTTCCTGAGATGCCCCTCCTTTAGAATAAAGCACGGGGACAAGAGGACGTATGTGTTTTCACAGCATGAAATGGAGCAGAAAGGTGGCAGTTATCTAGTTAGTGTATTCGGTCTAGATATCCAGGAAGAAAAGGAAAGGTTTTGTGTTGACTTGGGCCAATATAGAATTCTTTTTTTAAGTACCAGGGTTGGGGAGGAAGACATTTGGTCATAACAGCTGTCATTTGCTGGGTCCCTACTGGTTCCCAGCCAGCCCAGTGCCAGGCAGGTCAGACAGGTGTCTCCCTTTGTCTCAATTAGAGGGCAAGGAGGCTGACTGAGTTCACACAGACCAAACTTTTAGCCATCTGGATGTACAGGAGGGATCAAGGATGACAGAGGAGGAAGGAGGGAAATGGGGGGGAGGGGGGTGGAGAATAGCGATCTTGGCTCCAGAAGGGGAAGGCGGGCGTGAATCAGCAAGTGGTAAGTTGTGGGGAGGTGGCAGTGGAAAGCAGGTTCTCAGTCTGCTGATTTCGAAAGCGGTGTGGAGGAAACTTGGGCAGCATCTCTTTCATCATCAGCAGCTATATGCAGCATTTATGCGTTCCCCCAGGTGCAGGCGGGCCAGGTGCGTGGGGGCGGGGTGGAGGGCAGCACTCAGGGCCCAGGGCAACGCTCAGATTAGTGGGCGAGGCAAAACTTGCACGAGTCAGTTACATAGAGTCAGTTACATAACGGTGCTGAGGGTGCAGCAGCAGCAGCTGGGTTAGCGGCTCTGAGATTGGAGCAGTCTGGGCCGACTACACTCCTGGCCTGGGAGCTGGTGTCCTGTACGCGAGCTGACACCTGCCAGGTGCTTGGAGACCGCCTGGCCCACAGTGAGTACCCAGTAAACATCGGCTCTTGTGGTCTTTAGCCCTAGAGCTCGTAACCAGGCTCGGGGGATGTCTCTGAACTCCCCGAAGTTGCGTGTACAGTTTTTTATGTAGGTGTGTATATTTCTTGGGGGGCATAACTTCTCGTGTATTGTATGTCAAAGGGCTTCTCTGACACCCATAAGGCCAGGAGCCCCAGGACACCTTGGATTCTAGTCAGATTTCCTTAGGCTGGTTGCTTCACCTCTCTGGGCTGTTTCTTCATCTGTGCAGAGGGGCCGCCCTCTGAGACCCTCTCAGCTGACATGGGGGACAGGCTGTGCAACAGTTTGGCTGTGCTCCTGCTTGACATGATTAAGCAGAGGGCAGACCAGGCAGCTCTCGTTGGAAATGTGCTAGGGTAGCTTGCTTTGGAATGTTACATCTTGAGCACCACTCTAAGCCTAAAAGAGTTCTGAGCAGGCGTGCGGGGGTCTCCTTGCTGGGGCAGGCTCTCCCTGACACCTGTTTTAATTTCTAGAACTCATCCTGGTCCAGGCCTTTTGGGTCTCTGAAGAAAACAAGGCTGGCAGATCCTCAAAAGCAGAGGGTGTTATTATAATGGAAACGTGGACACTTTCCAGAATTGTGTTTGTGATGAAAATATTCAAACAGGCAGCCTCGTCACTCAGGTGCCTGGAAAGTACCCCAACGTGGGCAAATAATTAGATACAGGCCGGGCACAATTATTTTTTCCTACAATATGCTGGAACCTGGTGGTTTCACATTTTCTCTTAAAATAGAATATGCACCTGCTGGTCCATTTTGCTCCCTGTGGTCAAAAAGATAGTGGTGTGGCCTCTGAGGGGGAGGAAAAGCCACGAGAAGTGGCGATTCCATCCCACCCAGGGCAGCCCGGGATCCTGGGGAAGTTCTGCCCTGCTCTTCCTGTGCCCAAGGGCCTGGGCCTGTGGCACCTTTGCTAGGAGGTTGGAACCTGCATTTCAGAATCTAAGAGGTCTGCGAAGGTGCATTCTTGTCTCACCGCTTGTTGAAAGGGGTCTGGGCTGCTCTGCCTGCCTGTTTGATACCTGCTAACTCACTCACGCTGATGGAAGTAAGTTCACTCAGCACCTTCACATTTCCCGTCAACCAAGTGTTTGGTGCCCACCATACTGATGTTCTTGTAGCCTGGATGTTGAATCCTGTAGATCCTTGGAGGGGTGACATAGGGATGGACTGAGCTGAGGTACCACACGAACCTGGCTTTGAGTCCCTCCTGTGTTTCTTTGTTCCATTACTGGGACCTTGGGCAAGTGGCTTAATTTCCTTGTGCCTTCGTTTCCTCATCTGTAAAATGGGGTTAATAATTTCTACCTTGTAGTGTGGTTTGCAAATTAGAAATAGTATAATGTAGGGTTCAAGGGAGCTCCCCACGTTGAAGCCCTCTTTCCTGCCTGAGTTCTGAACCTATGGAGAGAGACGGGAGGAGGAAGATGGGTGGAGATAAAGAGGTGACATTTGTTCCTGGTGGAGGCTGATGTTAGAGAATGTGGCTGAACCGTGGGCATTGTAATCCTGAACTGAGGATTGGACAGTTAGGGCGACTCACCTCCCCCAGTCACAGGTAGAATTGGAAAGCTGCGGCCTCTCCTGGGGGCAGCCCCCATCCTCCAAGGGGCAGCCAGCAGGGTGAAATGATGACTCTGTGTGGGAAAAGGCGAGGCCGGGCTATGCATGTCCAAGTACTCCTCCACTCCTGGGTGGTATAGACACCACCAGGTGTAGACACCAGCAGAGTTACATAGGTGGAGCTCCCTCCATGGATGGTAACATCAGGAGTGGGCTAGAGGAGTCCCCCACTGACAGTGAATAATAAGTGCTGAGCCCAGGGCCTGGCCTGTGGTGGGGGGTTGACAAATGGCACCTATTGGTATGCAGTTGATAAGGACAGCAGGGCATTGAGGTTAGGCAGTGAGGCCTGTCAACTCTGTGTTGTTCTCTTCGAGCATGGGAGTGATTAGCCAGATTGAGATAATGATTAGCGGTGGACCTCAAGGCTGTGTTCTAACTATAACGGAATTGCAGTTCACAAGGAGCAGAGGTACTGCCTGCCTAATGGCCTGAGCTGGGAGAACCTTTTCCGCCTCCTCCTGGTTCCCCGTACGGCCCCTCATCTCCCCTTCCCATCACCACCTTTAGGAAGCCTTTGCCAGGAACTCTTACCATCTCTCCCATGTCTCCCTGCCCCCATCCAAGTGTTACCTTCTTCTTCTGAGCTTCTGCAATTCTATTCTGTTGAACTCAACCTCGAACCCATCCTACTTTATACCACGTTCTAGTTTCCTGGGGGTGGTCTGCTTGTCTTGGCCTAGGGAGCCTCTCAAGGGTGAGGAGAGCATCTGGGGGTCCACTCATAGCTAGACCCACACACAGCTGCGAGAGACTGCCATTTGTTGAATTAATGCATTAGTGAAACGTTATTCTTTCAAAAGCCCGCTTTTCCTGGAGAAAGGACTATTACGGATTTCGTGTGGGGCTCTGGGTGTGCACCCAGAAGACAGAAAAGAATCCCTAATTTGGTGGCACAGTACAGGAGAGTTAAAGCTTGTCACCAAATTTCCAAAGGAGTCAAGAGCCTAATGTAATAACCTTGGACTTCCCGGTGGTAGGTTTTTGGGCTCTTTAAAGGTAGTAACCACAGTTTTTTGTGTCTTGAGAGTCTTGGGGAAACTTGGTTGGTGTTGCAGGAATATAAGCAGGAACACCTACTCAGGCAAGAACTGTGGGGGCCGTGAGTGTTTCTTATAGCTGGTATAAATAGCTCGTCTTTAAGTTCCCTGCTCATTTGTTTGGAATGTAAATATTTGCATTAAAAACATAAAATATGTTCTGGCGTGTATTTATAGGGACCATAATTTCCAAACCCAAAATCAGACTATTGGTCTACAGAGGATTGTTTCCTCTGATTTGTGAACCTGTTTATATAAAGAGTCTTCCAAATGTACACACACAGAAAGGTATGTGCTTTGCGCACCTCAGGGATCTCAGGATTACGAGAAAGCAGGGCAGCCCCAGGGAATCCGGGCCAAGCGGTGGTGTTTCCCAGCCTGCACTTCTGATCGTGGCATCTGTTAAGTTGCAGACACGCCGGAAGGGCAGAGTTTTGGCTGAGGTCCCGTGGGATTGTCTGGCTCCTCTGTCCTCAGTTTCCTGGACATCCAGGTTGGGGGTTGGCCGAAGCTGGCTCATCTCTGGGTCATGTAACCAGATGCTTGATTTCAGAATTGCTGTTGCTTTAGGAAGATGTTGAGAAGAATGGGGGAACTGTGTCCTCTCTATGGTCTGGTGGTGGGAGCAGGAAGTTCTCGTTTCTGGTTCAAGGTTGAACCCTGAGGGCTTTTGTAGGATTTCTTCCTCCATCAGATTCTTGGGGGCAGTTTAGCTTTTTAATTTTCCTATGAAGAACAGCCCAGATTTGTCAGACACTTGCTGGAGGCAGAATATCACCACTTCTCTGGTCTCCGCCCTCTTCTCTGGAGTGAGAGACTGGGGGCTGCGTCAGGCTGGGCCAGGGCCTCTGCTCCTGGCATTGTGTGTGTGTTTGTGTGTAGGGGGGAGTAGTTCTCAAAACTCTCCGTGGCAGCCCTCAGTGGGCCCAGAGTCTCTGTCTCCCAGAGTCTCAGCAAATGGAGAGTGGAGATCATCTGGTCTGTTGGAGACGGCCAATCTGGTCGAACAGCCTGCCCCAAATCCAGGCTCGACCCCACCTGGCAACCCTGTCTGTCATCACTGGGTGAAAGGCAAATGACAGTAGAGCCAGTAGGGTCCTGGCAGGGCCTGGGCCCCCCAGCTCTGGCCTCTGCTTGGCTGGGACCAGGGCCTCCACTGTCCTCGCTTCGAAGCCAGGCCAGGGCCCTTCCCTCGGGCGGGGCCCGCTCCTCCTCTGCCCACTACGCACTGTTGCCTCAGGACAGGGACTCAGTGGAGGTAGCAGGAATCCTTCCTTCTTGCCTTCTCCATCTCCATCTTGCAAAGGGCGTGGCCTCCTGGCTCTGGGAGAGTCAGGCATGTCTGCTTGGGAAGCTTTCCTTCCTTGGGGTCCTGGGATGCTGAGCCCCACCCAGGAGAGGAAGTGAAGGTGGTCCGAGGGGAGAGGAGTGGAGAGCCGTGTTCTGGCTCCCACGCTGCCCCTGAGGTGCCATCCAGTATTAAGCATGGAACTTCCCCTGTTTGGTCCTTCCTGTGACCCATCAGTGAACCTTCCTTGTCTGAAAGAAACATTGTCTGGGCTTAGAAATGAATTGAGGAAGGACCGCTTTCCTGTGTGCCTTGGTGCTCTTGAACTGTGGGAAACTCACGATTGCTTTTTCTGTGGTCATCTTCAGCCTGACTCTCCCTTATTCTCTGTCCCAATTCTTAAAGATAGTATGTTCCAGAAAGGCCCCGTCCAACCCCACATCAGGCCAGTAATCCAAGAGCACTGTTTTGAAAGTCGGAGGAAGTGGCTGTGTTCAGGACATGCTGAACTTGCCTAAGAAAGTTCTCAGTTGGAATAAATGAGAGGATGAAAGGATGCTCCGATTAATGAGAGCAGGATCAGCCTGCCATTTGTGTCCTAAGTTTGAAAAGCTATTTATACTTGCTCTATAGCCGTTTCTGTGAGAAATTAGATATGGAAAGATGTACAAAAGAGAAGAATCGGAGCTTGGCAAATGTGACCTCCTCATCAGAAATACCTTCCTGGGCAAAAAAAAAAAAGAAACTCATGTGCCCACAGGTCGACAATTGAAAATCCACGGATCCTTTGCATTGTACACAATTTGGCTCAGGGAATAAAATGATGTATTAAAAAGTAGATGAAACTCTGGTTGCCATTTGGGTGGTAGAAAATAAATTTGCCTTTGGTTGTTAAAACTGAAAACAAATCGATAGAAAAATGCAGGCCTGCCCACTTTTGAGTCAGGAGTTTTTTTGGTTTATGGAAGAAGGAAAAGATTTGCCCACTTGAAAATCAGCTTTGTACCTTTGGACCAGTTATGAAGCTGCACAACTGTTTAGGGAGATGTGCGTGTATGTGTGTTTGTATTGATATATATACATTTATTTTACAAAGTTCTCACCTGGTTTGTTTTTACAAATCATCTGCGGGGGAAGAGGGAGAATCCCCCTCTGCCCCTTCCCTTAACGTTCTTATGGCTGGCCAAATAATTAACAAGACAGGTTAGCAGGAGAAAATAATATTTAGTTTAATAACATGCATACATGGGAGAAAGCAGGGACACTGCGTTTCTCAACACAATAGCAGAAATTCTCGTCTTAAAT